GACAGGGACTGCGCCGTCAGTTAGGGACGTGGCCCAGTCTGACTGGTACGGCCTATTAAATAGAAGCTTCCTGAGGAATGCTCGTGCGGCCCATTCGCGAGCTACTTTGCAACGAGCTTCGAATACTTCAGAAGTACCCTTAGTAGAATTGGTCCTCGGTTGACTTGCCTTGTTCGGGAGCTCGGGCGAGCTGCCTTTCTTAGCTCGCAAGTTAAATTTTGCCTCGGAATATCCCTTGAGGTAGCTCGGGGGACCTAGAGCTCGCATTTGTGGCGAGCCCCTCCTTTATCCCGCTACCATGTAGCAAGCTGCTTTATGAGCCTTTCACTTAGCCGTACCGGCATACGACGATGAGCTGTCGCTTACGCTGAGTCAGCGTCCACGTGTCGCCGTTTCATAGGTCGGGTCAAATCATCCTTCATCAGAAAGGAACTAGCTGTAATTAGTCAGGCTGAATGGAGCTCTGATACCATGTTTGCTGAAATACAGCAGTAGAAGAGGAAGAAGAAGAGAAGAAGTCTGAGAATGGATGGCAATATGTTCTCAGCCGGCCCTAGAAGCTATAATATATATTTACAATAAGATGTTACAGGAATAGACTAGAATGCCTGTGATTAGTGATGGGACACCTAAGCATAATAAAATAAAACAAAACAGGTTTAGGCCCAATAACTAAAGGCCCATAACAGACTAAGAACTTAAACATAAAAGATAAAATAAGCCCACTAACACTTAACCACTCGAACCAACAATATTTATAGTAACTAGACTAGAAAGCTATATATTGGTTTGTTATTTGACTGCTATTTCATGCACAACCTTTCATCTTGTCATCATAAGCTCTGTGGTTCTGACATAGATTTGTAATGTTGGTTAGTCTTGCATACAACTGCTAAAGATGTTTCTTTTAACAGAAAAGTGAAAATCTATTAAAATCTGCAGAATTAATGATTAGGTACAAGATGTGCAGCAGTTATGAATAACTATCAAACCCCTTTGAGGTGGGGCTGGGGAGCAAAGATGAAAGGCTTGTGTCTTTCACCCTACTTCTGATAGTATTAGTAATTTATTTCTTAATGATTCCATTTCATTATCTGGAGTAAATATCATGAGAACCTTCAAAGTGGCAGATGGTTTCGCTAGATCTGGTTTGGGAAAGGATATTTTGTATAGTGCTAATATATTGCCTTAATCAGCTTTTTGGGCTCTTGTTTTGTTCTTGCAAGGCCCCTTACATCCTCTCATGTACGCCCTTCCTCTTTCCTATTTAAAATACAAGCTATCTTTTCTCACAAAAAAAAAAGAAAAAGAAAAAAGAAGAGAACATTCAAAGTGGAAGTTACCAATTAACACACGTGTTAACATAAATGACACCACTAACCTGCAATTGCTACCCCTACCTGGGTTCAGATGCTCTCTTCACCCACTGCTATACTAAATCAGTCATATTAGATCCATAGTTCCATATACCTAGTTTACACCATAGGTTCACGTAGATTTGATTCTTCAGGTTACAAAAAACTTACCCTTAATTAAGAAAAGAAAAGAAAAGAAAATTACACATATGAACAAAGGGAAAGAAAATTGATTTTAATAAACCAAGTTCTGAGCTGATTAGGATCTTGGAGATAATGGATATGCTGCTTCAGGAAAACTAGAAAAAATAGTATATCTTGTGCTATGATGTGAAGAAATGCAGAAGCATAAGTAATTGTTAGAGTTGGTCGAGTAAGGGTAACCTAGTCTTTTCATTATAGTTTAAGTAGTATAGTGATGTGGCAATTTTGTTTTGTTTTTTATTTCTCTTGTCCCATACTTAAGTAGGGGTATATTTGACTTTGTACCCTTATTTTAATATAATAGAGATTATGGTCGACTAGGAGGGTTTAGACTCTCTAGTTCGACAGCTTTCTTCTTCTTCTTCTTTCTCTTTCTCTTTGAACAGGACTTATCTGAACCACTAAAACAGTAATAATTTTAATTGAAAAAAGAACGAAAAGAAAATTTTCTGAAGTACTTAATGTCTTTATTTACAGGGAATGGTAATGAATTTTTATTGGTACTTTCTAGAAAGCTGCTGAAAGATAAATACATGAGAATCATACTCTGAAGTCTGAAGAATCACCAAAAGGGTATTGGGATATGAAATTGGTAAAACCCCTAATGAGATAAAAGTTCTACCAATAAATCAACTAACCTAAAGTTCTGCAAAAGTGTATCATGTCTCTTTTATCTTTTTTCCTTTTATTTCCTTAAATAGGGGAGAAGGGGAAGGGGTGTGAGGGCATGAAAAGCTAAACTATAATCATTGTCGACCAGATTACCTATACCTTCTTGATTGTAGTCTGTAAATAGTCTTTAAATATCACAACAGGAACTGTAAACTATTATTTGAATATTGTCAGGCCATCAGTTGAGGGTGCTACAAAGTACATATATGGAAAATTTTGATCTGATTGAATGATTCTATATATGTTTTCTTGAATGATCAGAAAAAAAAGTGTTCTAGAGAGAAGACCATGAATGGGATGATTACTTTCATCTGGTTGTGTTGGTCCTCTGAATTTTTTTATTTTTTTTATAGGAAGCGGAATTTGTGGGCACAGATTGGATCAATCCTTGTTTCACACATGCACACATGGATTATAATATTCCTTGACCCTTTGTTAATAATCCATTGTCTTGCTTCTGGTACTACATCTATTTTTGGTACTTGAAATTCGAAAATGTTTCATGTTGCTTCCCTTATTGTTCTTGTGGCAGAATGAACGGCCCCAATTGCCTGCTAGTTGTCAGCCTGCACTTGCAAACCTTATAAGGCGCTGCTGGTCAGCAAACCCCTCAAAGCGCCCAGATTTCAGCTACATTGTTGCAGCCTTGGAGAAGTATGATAAGTGTGTGAAAGATGGCCTTCCTCTTCCTTCCCACTCTGGGCTGGTAAACCAAAGCATGATTTTTGAGCGCCTTAAGGGTTGCATTTCCACGAGCTCATCTGTACCAGTCTATTCCTAATTATCATAGAAGGTACCTTGATCTTCCATCTTATAGATGTATCATAATGGTAGGTTAAGCTTTTATGACTGAATATTTGATATTTTATTTTGTCATAGTCTAATTGTGCGTGAGGTGTCTAGGATGAACTAATGACAGTAAATGGTGGGGTTGAACCTCCCAGCACGTTCCCCATATGAACTCAAATAAAATTGGTAAATTGTCTTTAGGGTCTAGCAGAGGGCATGGTTTAGTTCTTGGTATAGTATTATCATGTATCAATGACCAATCAGTACTTGTCATTCGTTGATGTGAAATTGCTTCAATTGAGAAGATGTACCTAGTGTTACCATAATAGATGTATTCTGGGTTTTTTGATGATGGTGCAACAGACAATGTATCTTTTTTTTTTTTTTTGTGTGTTCATGCCATGATGTAGTCCCTGGTAAGGTAAAGAATTTGCTTCACATAAGCACATCAACATCCGGGCCATTAGGGCTCTATAGTCACAAATCTGCTTGCTTTCCAAAGCCCCATTTTCAATTGCTAACTGACTAGAAATTGCTTGCTTTCAGTATGTCTGTGTGTGTGTGGTGGGGGGTAGGAGGGGGATATTCTTGCCATCATCTAATAAAAACCAATTAAATACATACTTGGTTCAGATAAAACTTTTGACTTCCAAGGGAGTTGGTCTGGCTTCAGCTTCGGTTGTTCAAATTCTTGTCTTGTATTTGTATTCCACATTTGAAAGGATTCTACTCTACTGTGGCTTTGAATTGACTGAGGTGGGTTGGTGGGTTACTGGGTTTTCAACTTTCAACGCCACACATGACAACATATTGAACCCTGTACAGACGTTTTTATATTATATATTATTAATTTACCTGCTTAAAGTTCCTGTCTGGCCTCCCAAATATATTTTCCCAAGCGCTCTGTTCATATTCATACTCATGCATCTCATCTGTATCTTACGGTAAATTGAATTGACAAGTTAGAGTTGATGGCTGAAGTGTATGGCTTGAAGAAGCAATATAACCCGTTTGATCTATAGACTTCTATATTGACCGTTTTCTTTCTTTTCTTTTTTTTTTGGCATAACCGTTATCTTGTGCTCAAAGGCAGGATAACAGTTAGGAGATTGGCATCATGCGATCCCAATACAAAGTCATTGGATTTGGAGTGCATTAGTGGATTCGAACTAGATGCGGCAGGTGTCATTCTTCCAAGTGTATGTATGCATTTAGGCTCCATGTCAACAACGTGTTCAATGGGCTACATAATTGAATCATGAGTAAATACATCAGTTGCTGGTACATGTGGGCTTTTCTGACGCTAGGCCCAATTCCTATTTTCCGCGTTGACTTGGAAATTTGTTGAAGTTCCATTAAAAATGTAAAATCCACTAATCAAAAAAAAAAAAAAAAACTTAAATTAGAGGCTAAGAAATTATTTGACTGATTCTTATTTGGTCAATTAAAGTGGTGTTTGGTGCCATAGCATTCCGTTCTGATTGATGGTGTTGGAATTGGATGATGTTTCTTAAATTTGGGGAGTAGTTCTATTTTCTTTGTACTCTGTGATGTGCTTATGTATTTCAAACTATAATAAAATATTAATGCCAAAACAACTTTTGTCTTTTCAATGCAACTCCATGTTTGCCAAACACCACCTAGATGAATTTTAAACTCATGGTTTACCCAAAAAGAGGCAAGACCGTGATTCGTGAAAGCGGAGTAGGGGTATATTATATGTGATGTTCTCTCTCTAGTCTCTACTCCCAGGCTGTGGCGCCTTAATTTACAAATTTTAAGTAGAAAATTAATAGTAACTGGACATTTCGGAAATTGTTCAAAACGATGGAAAGAAAAAGCTTTTTTTATCACTTATTTGCTTTAGTCGAGCCACACGCCACACTTTTTGCCGACCTCATTTATAACGATAGGAACCAATGAGAGAGTGAGCAGGGAGGGACGCTTTCCTTCCTGAATGCCCTGGCCTCCACTCCATTAGAGGGGATTAGACCACCTCAGGTGCCAGTTTCCTAAGGCTGCAATTGGAATCTCAAATGGGCGCTTCTGCAAAGTGCAAACGCACAAAACGAGTCTGTCCCACTCACAAATTTTCGGCAATCTATAATGACTAAATAGAAAGTTCACCCGAAACTACTTTGTTTTCATCACAGGTGAAATGAATCCAAAATTATTATAATCAACTCTAAGAAAAATAGAGAACAATGCTAAGAATAATCGGAAATGAAGAACGAGAAGTTCTTGTCTCAGTGTAATGATCCCACTTCAACATTTAGAAAATTTTCACAAAATTCCATTTTAGAAGAGTCCCATGACTCCTTGAGGATAAGAAATAAAAGGAATAGCAGAGAAAGACAAGTTGAAAATGAAATGCTTCAGTTGTCTTGCACCTTAAATCACTTATGAAATTTCATCCTTTTATCAGCAGAATCAGGCCTATATAAATGAAACAGAGATTGTGTAGGAGAAAAAGGAAATGGAGGATCAGTATGATGAAAAAAAAGCTCATTTCTTCTCTTCATTCCAAAAAAAGGGAAATTTACACAAAAACAAAGTTCCAAAATGCAGAATAAAACTCAACATCTGAACACCAATCTTTTCTGGTTTCCGCCATTTTATTAACCCCAAACCCCCCATATCCTCTCCCCAATAAAACTCACAAATCTCCTTACCGAACTCTTCTCCAAATCCTCCACTTCTTCACTTTCGCCTATCTCACCACTACAGACCTCCAACGTTTCCAGATTATCCACTTCCTCTCTTCCCGAAATCTCTTCGGGGCGCTTCCCATCATCCGACCCCTCATTGCACACTCTCTTCTTTTTCTCTTTTTTGCTCTTCGTGTTCCTCTTCTGCATCAAATCATCTTCAAAAGCATCAATTATCTCGTGAATCAGTTGACGATTAGGTGAAGAGTCCCAGCGAACCCAGTAGCTTGTATAGCACCTGAAGCAGTTGCAGTGAAACGAACTTGGGTGGTCTCCGGAAAGACTCTTGTGATTGTTTCTGGTTCGACCGCCGGAAAAGTTTCCCGAACTGCCGGAGCAAGAGATAAGATAAGCCAAGACTTCCCTATCTTCCGGTGACAGCGCCAGGGTGAGTGTCAGAATCGTCGCAGGAAGGAAAGCGAGCGGGTCCGAGACGACAGTGGGTGACGGGTGCACCTTGCCTTTCCTGCAGAGCTTCTTCATACCTGGTTGTTCTTCCTCTTTCCCTTCTGCAATGCTTTTGCCTATTTCTCGTGACTGTTCGTTCTCTCTGGTTTTTAGATGAAGCTGAGGGAGGACGGAGGTTGAAAACTCAGAACTTTGAAGAGTCGCTGAATCTTTTTTACTTTTTACTGTTTTACTTACATTCTGTTCTGCGGCTGAAGCCTTACATTCTGTTTTACTTACATACTGTTTTACTTTGAAGGGTCGCTGAATCGATGTTAATGAGATGAGAGATGAGAGGTGTATAGATATGGAATCCTGTATGAAACGCGGTATTTCTCTGTTGTACTATAATATGGTGTGGGGTGTATTATAAATGTAGATTTGTAATGATCTTATGGCACGTATACCTAACTGGTCCTTGCCTGATGCCCAAAGGGGGCCCACCTTTCTGATGGTGGGTCCAACATTCACGGGAGGTTTGGGGTCCACCACCGGTGGTCCTTACAACGGAAGATTCTCTTACGACGAGCAAAAAGATCAAGTGGTTTGGATGTTTTCCTAAAGTTGGACCCACGTTCTGTTGGACCATTGGTTGGAGTTTGTACGAATCATAACACTTGAACAAAGAACAGCTTGGTGTTACGTCCTTGTGCGTCCCGCCAATCAATCACTCGGCCGAAAGGAAAAGGGATTTGACTACGACGCCTTGATCCAGATTCCAGCCAACGGAGATGAAGACATCAACGTTKGGGGGGGGGGGTCCACACTTCATACCTGTTGATTATAGAATTGAATAGACCGTATGCACTTGTCCAAACTCTCTAAAGACTCTAAACCAAGAGTAGAACGGCTTAGGGCCTTCTTTGCCGCTTGGTGACTGGTGAGACCGAGAGAAGGTATAAAAGAGAATTCCTCTTCTCCAGCATTCTTTAGGGGGGTATATCTATGACGAGGCTGCATGACTGTGTCAAGTTGCCCAGACAAGATGAAAGGGAACAAAGGAAAAGAAAAGCAGCCACTTCAAAAGCACTTTCTTTAGAAAATGCAGTTCCTTTATTTGTGTGTTTGGTTGGCCACAAATGAAGAATCTCGATTTTCTTTTATTTTCTTGTCTTTATGTTGAAACATCCCTTCTTTTAAGATGGCTACTTTTATTTTTTTCTACTTGATAAAATTGGAGAGGTTCTTTATTTATTTTGGGTAAACAAATAGATCCAAGACTTGGCTCTCCACAGCTATAAAGTTGGACGTCATTTTTTTTTAAACTTATCGCCTTCTATAGTTTTGTTATAAAGATAAAGACTTAAAATTTGATAGAAGACTACACTGCAATGCTGAGAAGGACCTTATACCTTAGGGGGCTTTCTTTTTTCAGATTTTGAGAGGGTGAAAGTTTGTCAATGGGACTTTGGTTCCCATTCACCAAGAATTACATGTTCTTTTCTCAGATTTATGTGGGGATTAAGGAAAGTTTATTTTCCTTGGTATCACTTACTAGGTGGGTAAACAACTTTTCCACCTAGGGGAAAAGTTACCAACACTTGAATGGGACAAAAATGCCCCTTTTAATAATGAATTTTTATAGCTAAAATGGTCATTGCCTTATTTAAATGAGAAATAAAAGAACATGAGTAAATGCACTTACCCGGACAAGTGTTTCCCAAGAAAAAACTTACCCAGGAAGCTGTATTTACCTGGGTAAATAACTTACCAAAAAGTGAACGGGGCCTTAGTGTCTCTGATTACATGGGGTTTAATATTTTCTCTAGACATTTGAAAACCTATGAACTTCACTAGATTTTTCAATCTTTAAGCCTTATGTCGAACATTTTTAGCACAAAAAATCAATTCAATTAGATGAGTTAACAACTAGGATTAACGTTGAAAGTCAGAAAATCTATGTGATATTGGGGTATTCAGCCGACCTGTAGATCTTGACATGTGGCGTTGGTTGGACGCATCTCGGCCATCCTGCAAAACCTGATACGTGGCGTCGGCCGGACGTACCCTGACCACCCATCACCAACCACTACCACCTGCTCCCAAAGTACTCCTCTCAAGCAACTCTGACTATAAAAAGGGGCTCCACATTTAGGTAAACACAGACTGGAACTTAAGCTCTAAGTCTCATTTCTTTCTTGGTCTGACCCCTCATAGCTCTCGGCTAACTTAACCATTAGAGTCTCTACCCCTGGGATAACTCCCGGGGCCTATGACATCTACTCTCAACAGGTTGGAGTTATCGGCCCCAGACGCTAGAAATTACATTATTCCCTCAACTCCATATTTGGTATCAACAATTGGCGTTGTCTGTGTGAACATCTTCAAAACTTTCCCTTAAGAAAAAACTAATCTAATTTAATTGAGTAGCGTCCTCAAAATGGTTGACAAGCAAGACCCCATCCCAGATGTCTAGAACTTTAGTCACAATTGACCAGTTCGAACTGGTCCTAAGCAAGCTGGACAACTCGGCCCAACAATTAGACAACATATGGCATCCGGCGAGAAGCCACTCACTGGGTAGTCGTCCTGTCAGAAGCTACGAACAACGCAGAGGGTGATCCACCCATACCCCACTAAGCCAATGCTTGGGGGCCCGAAAGGGGTCGACCCCAGATTTGGACAATGGTAGCTGATGAGCTAGCAAGCCCCGTTCCAAGACCCCTTGGGTCCTCTGCCAAGGGGGATGACCCGTAGGATCCCATGTCGATCGCAAGAATAATGACCATTAGCACTGTCGCGCTATGACCAACTAGGACGATGGTGGGCACTCAAGCCACCACAGTCCCCCTCCTAGGGTAGGAGGTCGACGCCACACCTCTCCCCCGCTAGTCTCTGACCTCCACGGCCTCCTCAATGATCGCCACGCCTACAAGGCTCAAGACGTGCCAGCATTCGGGCACTCCGGGAACAAGGTCAACCCATCCTACATACAAGAAAACCAAGATCATTCCGAAGCAACGATGCCCTACATCGACCAACGCTTCAGAGACATTTAAGCACAAATTGGCGCCCTTCAGGACCAACTTCGACAAGTAGAGGAGGGCCGAGGAGACTCCTCCACTAGTTGCCCTACCTCATCCAGTCGAATAGAGGCGTTTGTAGATTCCATTCTCTTTGAGCCCCTCCCTCCAAGTTTCAAGGCCCCGATGTTGGAGACCTATGATGGGAGTACAGACCCTGAGGACCACCTAGAAAGCTTTCAGGCCCTCATGCTCTTGCACAGGTACTTTAGTGCCCTCATATGTCACGCCTTCCAAGACACGTTCAAGGGGGAAGTGCATCGATGGTTCTCTACACTGCCTCCATACTCCATCGCTTCTTGGGAACAGTTCATGGACCTCTTCCTGGGCTACTTCATGAGCATCTGATAGTGTCAGAAAACCGTTATCTTCTTAATGTTCGTCAAGCAGAAGCGTGGGGAGAGCCTATAGGCATATAAGAAGAAGTTCAACCAGGAAGAACTCGAGGTTAAGGACCTAGACCCCTTGGTATCTTTGCATGCGTCCATCAGTGGCCTCAAGCCTGGACCCCTCAACTGGTCCATCTCCAAGACTCCACCCAAGATTAAATCTAGATTATTGAAGAAGGTTCAGAAGTACATCACTACCAAAGAGGTTGAATCCAACAAGTGCCTCCAAGAACCAGAAGCTGAGGCAATCCGAGGGTCCAATGATAAGAAGAGGAAGGAAAGAGACGGCCGTGGCGATGGTCCCACCAACAAAGGTGGAGAGAAGAGGCCGTCGGCCCCTTCCTTCAATAAGTGCACACCACTAAACTCCTCCAGAACGCACATTCTAATGCAAGTAGGGAATGAGGAATTCATGAAATGGCCAGTTAAGTAGAAGAGGAACCCGAGAAAGGGTAACCCCAAGAAGTATTTCAAGTACCACCATGACACCAACCATGACACCAAAGACGGCTACGAGCTCAAGAACGAGATCGAGTCCATCCACCGCGGGCACTTAAAGGACTTTGTTGAAGGCGACACACCAGCATCGCCCTCCTAGCAGCCACAGGCTGAGCCCTGCGATCACCGCCCCCTGGTCGGAGTCATAGAAGTCATACCTCGGGGGGAGCATCTGCCTCATCTCAGAAGGCATACGCTCGACAATACAACATCTAGAGCCAAGCAGTGAAGAAGCTGAGGCCAGAGGACCTCATTTCCTTCTTGGACATCAACCTACGAGGGGTGTCAGTTCCCCACAATGACGTGTTGGTGGTGTCAATGACCATTACCAACTACATGAGACGTTCAAGAAGTTGCAGCTAACACCAAACTGAATATAGCCCATCGACGTGCCACTAATTGGCTTCTTAGGGGAAGCTGTCAGCCCGAACATCGACGGTCCCTACCGGTCACTGTAGGGACTGAACCTTGGCACGCCACTCGGATGACTGAGTTCTTGGTCGTGAAGATAGGCTCACCCTACAACATCATCATAGGGAGGCCGACCCTTCACACACTCAAGGCGGTCGTCTCATCTTACCACCTTGCCATGAAGTTCCCCACGAAGCATGGTGTAAAAGAGGTTAGGGGGAATCAACAAGCTACCAGACAATGCTACGTGGCCGCGCTAAAAGGCAATAATAAGGAAACCCTACCATTGGAGGGGTTGGACCTCAAGGATGAACCATCAGGCCGAGGACCTAATCCCGGTTCCCCTAAACGAGGCCGAGCTCGAGAAAACTGGTGTGTTTGGAAGAGTGTCGTTAACCACTTCGGAACACTAGCTTCAATATTTGTAAAATTCTTCAATTCTCAAAACAACTACAAACGCAGATAGTGGTGAGAAAAGGATCGTATCCATAGGGAAGCGAGGGAAAAATCACTATGTACTTAAATTTGAACAAAATAACACAATTGGAAGTTACAGAAACACAAAAATTTAATTAATTAAACTGGAATCAATTAAAAAAAGTTGAACAAAGCTGAAAGTGAAAAGTGCATAAGAATAAATAAATAAGAGAAGTAAATAAATAAAAGAAACTAAATTAAAAGTCTATAATTCGATCAGAGGTGGCAGTCTCCGGATCTCTCCTTTGACCCTCGAACTCCTCGAGCTAGTTCTTCCGTCTTACATGGCCGAATCCCAGATCTGCAAAAAAGAAAACAAAAATTAAACTAGATAAAAATAAATTGTAGAAAGGAAAAATCAGAACTAGAAATTAAAGGACGGAAATAAAATCTAAAACTAAAGTAAACTGGTTGGGATCCGAATCCAGAGGTGGCAGTAGTAGCTTAGGCGAATTGCAACTAGGAACCCCTCCTCTTGCCTGGGCGTTCTCATCTTCCTCTACCCTTGAACTTCTCAAGATCAGCCTTCCGTCTTACCTGGGGGCAAAATCTAACTCCTTCTC